CAAGCTTAGCAAAGCACAGGGACCGCGGTTCAATCCCCCAGCACCACATGCCAGCCAGCCCCGCCCCCTGGTGGGCTGAGCTGGCCACACACACACATACACACACACATAATAAATAAATGTTTAAAAAAACAGATAAAAAAGAAAAAAAAATTTTAAAAAAAAGAAGGAAGGAAGGGTCACATCCATTCCATGGGCATGTGTAATCTCTTTGTTTGCTTTCCTCTCTTTTCTGTACTGTGAATTGAACTCAGTACCTCACACTGACAAGGCAGGCCCTGTGCCCCTGAGCTATAGTCCCAACCTGCATATTTGGCTTGTTTGTTGATTAGTTGATTGGAGAGAGGTTCCTGCTCTGTATTTGAAATGATATTGAACTCCCTTGCTCACACTGGCCTCGACCTTGCACTGGTACTTTTGCCTCAGTCTCCTGAGTACAAGAACCAGTGTTCTCACAAGATGTCAACTAGTAAATGGACAGATGTCCAGATAACTATGAATGAACAAAACGGAATCAAGAAGATATAAAAATTTTAAACCAATATCAGTCAATGCAATTGAAGATGCAGCTAATAATCTAACCAAAAGAAGAATGTGGGAGCTGATGTAGTCGATGCTGAGATTTGCAAGACATTTAGAAAAAGACTTAGTATTTCTACTTCACAAACTCTTTAATAAAATTCAAAGTGAAGCCATACTCCTACATTCATTCCTGGAGATAAATGTTACTCTCATTCAAAATCCAGAGAAGGATCCAACCGAAAAGGGGAACTAAAGGTTAATTTCTCTAATAAACGTAAATGCAAAAATGTTCAATAAGATACTTTCACACAGAATCCAAGAAATCATTAAGAAAATTATATATCGTGCCCAAGTAAGATTCATCACAGAGGAGCAGGGATGACCTAACATATGCAAATCAATGAATGTAATATGCAATGTTAACAGAGTCAAGGGGGGAAAAATGGCCATCTCAGTAAATGCAGAAAAAGTACTTTGAAGAATTTCTGCAACAGTGCCGGCCCCACCCCTGGGGCACATTGGGACGGAGATTAAGATTGGGTGTGGAAAAAAAAAAAAAAGATTGGGTGTGGTGGCACTTGTCTGTAATCCCAGCGCTCAGGAGGCTGAAGACAGGAGAATCACTATGAATCTGATAGTGAGACTGTAGAGCCTCTACTAAATGCATAAAAAAAAGAAAATGTCTGGCACCCATTCTTTATAAACCTGTACAGAATATTGGAATAAATGGTGTTTATCTCAGTCTCACAGAAGCCATCTCTAACAAACTAATAACCAACGTTATACTAACTGGACAAAAACCATATAGCTTTCATGCTAAATTCAGGAACACGACAATAATGTCCGCTTTCACCATTCCTATTCAGTATACTTCTGGACACATTAGCCAGAGAAATCAGACAAGATAAAGGAACAGATAGAATAAGGATAGGAATAAAGAAGTGAAATTATAATTACTTGTGGGTGACATGACACTCTATAGAGAAGAGCCCACCCCAGTCCTGGACTGCTGATCTTTGCCACTCGCTTCGGAGTCCTCGTCTTTTTTTTTTTTTAATTTGTGTGTGTGTGTGTGTGTGTGTGTGTGTGGCCAGCTCAGCCCACCAGGGGGCGGGGCTGGCTGGCATGTGGTGCTGGGGGATTGAACCGCAGTCCCTGTGCTTTGCTAAGCTTGTTCTAAGTAGGTGCTTTAGACCACCGAGCCATCTCACCAGACCCGTCCTCTACTTCTTGTCACATCATCATCCTGCACTAGATAGGAGGTTTCTGGTTAGGATACCCAGAGGATTTAGGGGCCTTGTGAATTGCTCAGACTCCTGGGCATTGGCTGCTGGATGGAGGGGGCAGCTAGTCAGCAAGCAGCAGTGTAAGGAGCAGTAAGGACTTGTCTCCACTCAAGGCAATAAAAAAGGGACAGGGCTGGATTCAAGGGTTGAAGGGGAAAAGAGAAAGTATGGCAAAGAAGAAATGGAGGAGACAGCAATAAATGGGGGAGAAAAAGAAACTGGGATTATAACCACCGGAGGTCACACAGTCTTTTCTGGAGTCAGCCTTTTTTGTGGGGGGATGAAATGACAGGCTCACTGTCCCTCAGATATCTCCTGGGTAAGAAGGTCACAGAATGAATGTGACATGTGAGACCTGCTCTTCTCTGTCTCTTCTGATTCTCAGCACCTTACTCTACAGCAGATTTTTTTTTTAAATTTAGTACAGGGTCTACAGGGTCTCACTATGTAGACTCATAGTGATTCTCTCGTTTTTCAACGTCCCAAGCACTGGAATTACAGGCATACACCACCATGCCCAATCTCAATCTCGGTCTCAGCGTGCCCCATGGTTGGGGCCGGCATGGCACTGGCATCAAACCTTGGTCACTGGGCTCTACCTAAGCAGGCGCTTTAGTCCACTGAGCTATCAGGCCGACCCTAGAGCAGGTTCTTAAGGAAGAAATAATACACCCGCCCTCACTGTGTCTGACACCCATCCCCAGGCATTTTGGCATGGTGACCATTTCCAGCCTGGCTAGTCCAGTACAGCAGCTATAGCTGCCTTGCTATAGAACTAAGGAGTGAAAAATGGAATGGGTTGATACTCTACTGTTTGAACTCTGACACATGTATGTGGGTCACCCAACCCATGATCACTTATCATTCTACAACAGATTTGAAAGGGTCTTCTCTGTAGAAAGCTCTCATCTTACCTGAGCATCTGGTCCAGTTTTCCTTCCAGGAAGGAGACAGAGTCCATGTAAACCTCTTGCAGACAGTGAAGCTTAAGAAACTGAGAGGTTATTTGGGTGACCAACTGCTCTCTCCTCTCTGTGGAAATGAAGGAAGGCTCAGAGATGTCAGAGAGAGTTATTTTCTGAAGATTTTGCATCTGGCCAAGATAAGGGGCAAAACAAGCCAGGGTGTGGAGTTTCCAGCACTGACCCACATCCACCTCCTGCACAGAACCAAGGTTCAGCATTTCCAGGATCTCTGTGGTAGTTTGACTGTAACTGTCTTTAATGTGTAGCTTTGAGCAACTGAGCTTCACAAAACCTTTCCTCTCCTGGACCCACTTGAGGAGGTAGGATTGAAATAGACCCAGATGACTTTGTCTGATCCACAGGTCTAAAATGATGGTGACCTGCTTCTTTTCTGCTACCTTTTGTTCACTCTTCTCTGTTTTTCTCCTCTTCCTGGATCCTGAGGAGGAGGTTTCCAAATGGTTTCCAGTCCAGACATTCCAGAAGTTCTGGTGCATGATCCGCATATCTAGCACTTGCAGTTTCAACCTCCTGTGGGTAAACCAGTAATAAGTCAGAATTTAGGGCATGTCCTATTTTTCTTCTGTGCTTCACTCATTCAGACATCAGTTTCTGTCTTCGCTCCTTCTATGGGGCTCTTTCCCTCCTCCCCTTCCCCCCTTAGATCCAGCACAGTCCCTGCTGACAGTGTCTGTGGGACACATAACTATTTACTGGCCTCTGCATTTATGCCTCTCCCATTTACAGTCCTCCCTGTTCAGAAATCAATTTTGAGTGGTCTCAGCAATTCCCAAGGCGTCTCCAATCTTCCTGGCAGTCAGTATGTGACGCCTGTTCTCTGCAAACTCATTTCCAACTCTACCTAACAGAGTGTCTTTCTTACTCAACCCTTGGGCTTGCTTACCAAATACCAGAGTCACACTCACCTATTGTAAACCTTTTGTGTCAGAATTTCATCGAGTGCATCTAGCACGGCTTGGAAGGTCTCTAAGTTTCTCTTATCCATATGGACAACATCCAGCTGAATTTGTGATGTCTCTAGTTTCCTCATCCTCATCAGTGCCCTCAGGGGCAGGGAGGGAAAGGGCCAGGACAGCACCATGGCCTTCAGCACCTCTGTGTGTCCTCTGGCAAAGGCCTCCATGAACACCAATGGGAAGAGCTCCCCTGGCAAATCTTCCACAGCCTCCACGGTCAAGACTTTATCTCTTAACAGATTCTGCACTGCCAGCTGCACAAGTGTGCACGGTGACTGGGTGCTCATCCTGGGGAATATGAAAGGCCCAGGATCCTGGAGATATATCTAGAAAGAGACATCCTTTCAGGAAAGCCTGATACACCCCATTCTGTTTACCCATCAAGAAATGCAGTTTCAGCACAAATCCTTGCTCTGGCCACGGTCAAAGAGTACAGAACTTAGCCCTGGTCTGTGCTGCAGGTAGGCTCCAAGGCATTTCTCTCCCTCTAATGACACCAAGATGAATGCCTCTCAATACTCAATGAAGCAAGGTGACCAACATCCATTTCCAACTGCAGCCCCCTAGACTCTCGACCTACTGGGAACTGAGTAAAAGGGAATTCAAAATGTACTCCCACTATTTTTAGGGAAAAACCACTGATCCACACTCCATGTTCACAAATCCAAAATATGGGTAATTCACGTGGCTTAACTGTTGCAACTTGTTATTTTCCACAAAGGACACATGTAAGAAGAATTAAGGATGCTGTACAATAAATGCCTTAAGGTTTCACTTCAAACAATTTTTGCATCCTGAATTCTACCCTTGAGCTGGCAGAAGTTGGGCCGGGGCTGACTTATCTACCTATCCTACGGCATCCCTGGCTCAACCTTCATCTGGCAATGCAAACAGACTCAGTGAGATGTCAACTCAGGAGTGTGCACAACTTGCTTGGGAATTACTTAGGCTGAGAGTCCACTTGCTGGATAAAAATCTATGAATCTATATCTTTTAAAAAAGAAAGGACTAAGATAAAATATAAGACTCAGAACCTTGTAGAACTAGAGAGTAAAAAATAGGGTAAAAGAAGCATCTTAGTAAAGGGGAGAGCAGGGTTAGGGATGTAGCTAGGTGGTCTAAGCACATGCCTGGCATGTGCAAGGACCCAGGTTCAATCTTTGGCACCACGTGTATTGCAAGCCCCAGAACTCCACGTGTGCTGTGCTGGCCACTGAAACCGCATGTTGTGGTGCACACCTGTAATCCCAGTGTTGGGGAGGCTGAGACAGGAGGATCGCTATGAGTCTGTGCTATGCAGGGAGACCCTGTGCCAAATAAAATTAGAAAAAGAAAGAGCAAAAAAAATCAGGTTTGGAGATGTTTGGAGACAGGAAGAGTCTGGAGAAGTCATTGGAGAGAGAGAGGTATATATAATATGGATCAGGGACATTTTCTGAACACTTGTAACCTGAATTCAAATCTTTGACCCTGACTCTTGTGTGACTGTGGCTGAATTGTCCATGCATGGGGCTCACAAGTGTAACCATTCCATTCCATAATATATATATACATA